GTATGAGAATTCTTAATAAAATGCAAAGAGCTTCTTATGGATGCCTTACGAATAGGACCTCAGCCTCGAACTCTAATTACTAGTTACCTAGTCGATTTAGCTGAAATACTCATATTTTAGCACCAATATTATACATTTACAATATGGACAGTTGTGACTCTTTTAGTTGTTGATAAAATTAACAACAAAATAATAACGAACACATTGAGACTAGGATAAGATGAAACTTGGTTGCTTATGTATAAAAAGAAAAGAAAAAGAAGAGTAGAACTTTTGTTTTCAAAAAACGCATAAAACCCTATTCGTTGGCTCTTTGAAGACCTCTTCGTACAAATTTCTTCATTTTTCCCACTACAAGTTAGAAGTCTGAAAAGATTTTGTATTGATGCCTAAATGCAAGATGCGCAAATTGCCAAAACTTTGAGTCGTTAGCATTTTTGCAAAAAGTATATCTGTTCATTCTTCTACCTTTGCTAAGACTGACGAATTTTAATATTCAGAGATTTACGGTCCTGGCTTTAACTGTTGCAGAAAAAAAACACATGGTAGTAAAGACACATCTTAAGTGTGCTCTTATTTTTGGAATTACGAAACCTTTAAGAAGGTTTCAACTAAGAAACTAGCCATGTTTCCATAATTTTCGTAATCATTTGCACTAAGAATCCTAGAAAGTACAAGCTTAACGAATAATGAAGAATGAATGCAGAGAAGAATGTATAAATAAATAAAGGATTTTAAAGAGTATTCAACATTGTTGCTTTTCGGATTGCAAGAATTGTTAATAAGTTTATAATATTGTTATAGAGTTTATTCGAATTCATCATCTTTTCACGATACTGCTTCTTAATTTTCTATCAGTCATGCTGGGCTAAAACCGTTGAACTTTGTATTATGTAGCTTGTTACATAATCTGTGGTATTTTTCAATGCTCAATTCTCACATGTTACAATATTTTGACCTCCTGTTGTATAGAGTTTGAAAGCTTGTTCCTCGCTCTACA